GAAGAAATATCAAACATTGCTAAAACTTTGAAGTAAAACAACTACTCAAGGAACTTCATCAACAAAATCAACACAGATATGCTTGGAATGTGATGCGATATACATTGGACAAACATCACCAGAGAGAAATCAAAATCAGAAGAAATGAACACCGTAGAGCATCTGTTCGACCACCGAGAAATCCACTCGAACCAGAAAAGCTTGAAAAATCAGCATCCATAGGTGGTATACCCGCTATAGAATCAGGCCACAAAATTGATTTTGACAATATTGAAATCATCACCCAGAAAAACTTCAGAAATCACAAAGAAGGTCTAATATCAGAAGCACTTCATATCAACTGGAATCCAAATTGTCTGAACTGAATAGGAATGATGGACTAAAACAGAATCTGACCTGGTTACAACACCTCCCTCCTCTCACCAACGAAGTGACAAAATCAATACGAATGTGATAAGCAAGTTCACTGTGTAAAAACACACACTGCTTTTATAATTTTACACACTGATTAAATCCAACAATCTACACTTGGTTTCGTTATCTTTGCCAACTGACAACGAAACATGACCCCAGAGAGACGAACGATGATCAAGTTAGCAAACTTTATTTTGATATCATAACAGATGTACTATTACCTTTGTTATTTGGTTTAGTGATCTTCATTGTTATTTTGACTTTCAATATGTCCTCCTTCTAATTTGACCTAAGTAGTCTATTTTCCCACCTCTTAACCCTTTGTTATATATATGCTGAGTGGATTTCGTAAATTCCGGTTTAATAATACTTTGATAAAGCTATTAGCAGCATTAAATAGCGAAACGTCAGTAAAAACAATATCATTTTGTTTTTCATTCATTGGGAAATACAAAAAAACCTTCAATATGAAAGTATACAGACCTACAAAGCATTTTCCAGTAGTCCCTAAAAGTTGAGAACTAATAAAAATTGGGAAGTGTTAGGACGGACAAGCTTCTTTCTTAGCTATGAAGGCATGATGTACGCATGTACTGACGTGATAGTCTGAATGGACAGTTTTGATTCGTTTATTAATGGCTTAAATCTCTGAAGGGGTTTGTAAATGCAGTATATACCATGTATTCTTGTCTAATAAAAGTTGGTTGCGGTCGATGTCTCCACTGTTGTTGTCATTCCGGTGATCGTTTTTCTCCGTTTGACTTTTGTGTCTATCTCAGTGTGAGGGATAAAAATATAAAGTGATCATTTGGTTGAAAAAATTTATTTCCCGATATGTATGTAAAACAAGCAACAAAGGTTAATAAAACAGGATTTAATGAATTCATCGAATTTCGGTAGAACTCGTCATCTGAATACTCTACATACACGGATATATATATATATATATATATATATATATATATATACGTAATTGAAGCGTAATGCATTTTATCTTAATGTGAATCTCTCATACCCCCTCTTCCCTTATCTATTTGAACATGACCTGGAAAACATTCGCACCTGTCTTTCTGGATGACTAATTCAATGTAGTTTATTTACTTACTTATCAGCCTTACATTTCGCAATGCAATTTCAAAAGTATATATATACATATTCGTGTATGTAGAGTATTCAGCGGACGAGTTCTACCGAAATTCGATGAATTCATTAAATCATCCTGCTTCAATAACCTTTGTTGCTTGTTTTAAGATCATTTGGTTGTAGTGTCTTGTTATAGAGGTTCATTCGAGTCAGGTTAAACGAATCCACAACCTATTAACACTCCGTCATAATAGTGACGATTTAAACGGATAACAATGATTTAGAACATCTACAGAACACTACATTCAATAATTTATGATATGCTAAATTTCCAAACTGAATCGACAATACTGTTTGAAACAAACTCACTGTTCTTCTTATCATTATATTTGTCTGTCTGTTTCCAATATACAACTTTGCACTGATGTGCAGTAGTTCAAGTCGCCACACTCCAAGCAAAAGAAGAAAGTAGAAGAAACGCATAATAGGGACAGTAAACAGAGGTGTGAGACAAAGGAATAGTAATAACAAAGAACAATATAGTTTCATTGGAAATTATAAGTCACAAGGAGTGGATGCATCTGCGCCTCTGAGAACGATTTTGAACCATATCACCAATTGTTCCCAGCCATTTGTTTTTACCGTCCCGAGGACCCTAAACAGTCAGGAAGTCTATGTACGCCTATGTTCTACAATCTGTCGAAGGTTGAATATATGATCAATTCACCCTCTTCCTGGTCTAAAGCCTGCCTGGTTCTCTCATATTTGTTCCTCCTGAGCACCACTTAGTCTACGCAATATCATTGACCCTAGAACTTTAGATAGTATATTAGCCAAACTAATCCCTCCGTGACTTGTCTCCCTTCTTGTATATGGGGATAATCAATTCGTGCTTCAAATATTTTTGACTTTATATCGTAAGCGTGGACAAATTCCTCTGGTTACTTTTGTTTTAATTTTTAATTTTATTTATATTTTAAGTAAATCGGATGCAATATTGTGACAAATACTGAGAATTCCGTTCTGTATTATAAGTACTGTTTTTGGAATAAAGTAGATTATGATTATTAATAACTCAGCATAATAATTTAATACTAGTAAGTGTATTTAAAACGAGTGACTACCTCTTTGGTGCCACTTAGTCAGTTATCTTTGTGCTTCACCGCTACTTTCAAAGAGACAGTTATAAATTCATTCTCAATGTGACTTGACAATCACTTGCAACTCCAAGCAATCGGAGGCAATGAGACATACATATTGTGCGTGAGTACTGCCAAGAACCGCCGAAACCTCGGTACGTGGATCACGGCTGGAATTCATGACCCACTGGTTGCAGGTCAAGTGCTTACACCAATGAACCATAGCTCCACAACAGTTTTATGCAGATGAATACAACAAAATGATATTCCTAAAAACACTAGATATATTTTCAGTAGTTGGTTTATAAGGATTAGATTTGTTTTACGAGTTGATCACGGACTGCTATTAGTTAGAGAACCAGGGTGTACTGGACAGCTGTCCAGTCAATGAAATCCGCAACAGTTAGTTCAAGTCACGTAGGAAGGTGTAGACTTTCTGACTGTTTGGGTTCTTCAGGACAGTAAAAGCCAATGACTGGAGACAATCGGTGATATGGCTCAAAATCGTTCTCAATGGTTGGCGCAGATGAATCCACTCCTTGTGATATATAATCTCCAATGTAACTATATTGTTCTTCGATATTACTATTCTTCATGCCTCATATCTCTCTCTGTTCACTGTCTCTTTTTTGCGTTTCTTTTCACTTTCTGGCTTTGTGTGCTAAGTGAAGTGTGGCGACTCAAACTGCTACACATCAGTGCAAAGTTTTATGTTGAAACCAGTCAGTCAGTCCCTAGGACCCCAACGCGGAATTCCACATCTTCTTACGTGGCTCGCTTAAACTAATTGTTGTCGGTTGCATTGTCTGATGAAGCCATGTTGTGGCTTGACCACCACTGGCTGGCTCTTTTCCAATCTGATCCATCCTATGTCAGCTAACATCACCCTTTGTCGAGGAAGGCGATGGCTAGGCGTGCATACACGTAACACATGTCTTAACCATCTCAATCGATGTAACTTTACAGCCTCGTCTATTGAAATAAGTATGAATGGGAAACTGTGAATTTAGGTGAGTGAGTAATCTACATCTTCAAGTAGCGTGTCAGTGGATCGATGGCAGAGTGGACGTCAGACACGCAGGAGCTCAGGGTTCAATTTCTGACAAACGCACTCATTACTAATCCTTGCAAAGTTTACTAGCCGTTATTAAACACGGAAAAAGAAAGAAGGTTGGGTGTGAGACTAACAACGCCATCCTGCAAAAACAACATCATGACTAGTCAGACTTTTAAGGCTTAAAGCCCAATATTCCACTAGGGATGTAAAGGTATAAAAGCAATAGCCTGGAATGAATTTCATCATGACTATACCAAGCTAAATTATTCTTATTAAATTTCATCTTAAAATGTTACTTTAATTGATTTTCATTAAAGCTTCTGCTGAAGATCATACAAAATATGAATGAAATTATTAAATTAGTAACGGGCTTTAATTCATCAACTCAATAAGAATTCAAACACATAACATGGTGGATATTTAAGACAACATAGATCATAAACAGTAAGACAGGTATATAGCACATAGAAAAATTTAGGGCACCAGATTCTTAAAACCTGAAACTACTTCACAAAGATGAAAATTAGTGGTTACACATTCAGAAAAAGTAAACAAGAGAACAAATTTACTACATAAATTTATATATACTTAATCCATACATAATTTTATATCACAATATTATTTCTAATCAACAATCTGAAGCAGATATTAAGTCATTTCAAGCAATAAATAAGCATTTTCAAACTCTCCATAGAAAGTAACTAAATGGCCTTCAAAATACTACGTTGGATGATTGGAGGCAATCAGAAGAAAGCCCTGAATGTAGGTTTCATGCTTGCAGGCACTCATCAGAAAGGCGTATCTGCAATTTCGAGGCAACTTATGTCCCCTATGAGACAGATAATAACTAATGTCACCCGGCTAGTCATCGGGTTAGTTCAGATGGCAACCTAGGTCCAGGGCTGCCTACCGATCGCCTCTAATCCTTTAACATTAATTTAATGTACCCTGAAATGGGCAAGTCACTAAGCACAGTGACCCTACTGCAAACTGGATTGATAGAATTCAGTCTGCACCACAACCTGAGGACTAAATGCGTGACATTTGTTACAACCTAATGGTCAATCAAAAAATACCAGGGATTATACTCGATAACCAGTGTGTCGGTGGTTCAAGGGTGGAATGTTGGCCAATCACACACGTGGTCACAATTCGACCTCGGGACTAGTTTACAAGCCTAAAGAAACACCGCCGCCACCACCACCAGTGAAGCTTTAAAACTAAAGCTTGAAGTCTTATGTTCCACTCGGAATGGAAAGAAATAGAAAAAGATATTCAATAATTTAGAAAATCACTTTGAAACTTACAGCTGTATGATCGTAAAGAGTTCGAATAACCGGATGAGTTTCCATTTGTTGTTGAGGTGTCTCTTGAGCTATATGATCATTTGGTGAAACACTTTTCGCAAGCATTCGTTCAACATCCAAAATCTGTGCGGAAGAAATTCGGAGACAAAGTTCAATATAGCATTTTACGATAACTGCAAACCTAATTAGTTTGATTTCATCAAATATAATCAAAATGAAAGATAGGTGGAATGGACGACTAATTAATTTTTAAAGTTCGATGCCTATCTCCAGGAGAAAAAGCTTCATTAATTCGTTCTAGTTTAGGATAAGGAACATTTGTAGTTCTGACTGAGTCGACTCAGAACTTTCCCTCCTAAAAACCACGCTAACACCAACAGTCACCCAAACCACTTTATTGACAAAAACACGAAAGATAGGTAAACCAAACTAGACACTCGCTGAGTTCCAAATAAAGCCATCTTCATGAATTTGGAATTTAAAGGTGTTCAGGTTTCAGACATGCTCAAAAATCGTCTCGCCAAATCAGTCAATAAAACCAATTTTTGTCACACGACTTCGAGATTTGATTTTTATAGTTTTCTCTGTCTTCTCCTATTTGTTGTATGGGCAGTAGAATTTTCCAGATATCCGACTGGACAGGTGTTGAATCATTCCTATTACATGTATTTGCAGTTGATTCGATAAACAAAACTTCTGTTATCAATCTCTCCCTATACCCTGTGACATTAGATTTTAAAACTGTCATCCTATCCCATCCTATTGTATGGTTGTGTGTAACTCATGTAGTGCTATAGCTGAACTACTCTCTAGATTTCTTATCTTATTCGGGTCAACCAATCTAGATTTGGCTAGGTTTTTATGTTCGACTAGTCTGACTAGATTGGTTGACCCGAATAAGATAAGAAATCTAGAGAGTAGTTCAGCTATAGCACTACATGAGTTACACACAACCATACAATAGGATGGGATGGGATGACAGTTTTAAAATCTAATGTCACAGGGTATAGGGAGAGATTGATAACAGAAGCTTTGTTTGTCGAATCAACTGCAAATACATGTGATAAAAATGATTCAACACCTGTCCAGTCGGATATCTGGAAAATTCTACTGCCCATACAACAAATAGGAGAAGACAGAGAAAACCATATCAGTCAATAAAATGTTCTTTGCCACAAAAATACAAACGACCTTCACCAAACGTAAGTTGTTCTCCATTTCTGTAAAAGATAAGCTTCCCTGTTCAGCTGCCTCCATGTGCATCTATCAGTTCACCAGCTCCTCTTGTGGAGCAAGATACATTGACCGCAACCAGAAAATGCTTTCCAAACGGATACGAGAACATATTCCAGCAAAGTTTTACAAAGGAGGAAGGAGGTGTGTGCGAAGCTCTATTCTAGAACACTTGGTAGACTTCTGCCACTCTACCAAACCTGACTATGATTTTATGTCTGTCTATCAAATTCATGCTAAACTAACACATTTTTTTGTTCTAAACTTTTGAAGATAGAAAAAACCTTGGTTATACATGAATTCAAGTCACACCTTTGTTTACAAAAGAAGTATGTACAATCCCTATTGCTACCTTGGCCGTAGAGGGATAAACATTTATATATATTTCATTCATTTAGTTTATCTACGTTTCCCTCATTACGACGATCATTGTTATTACTATTACTATTCTCACTCTAAACTGTTTCCAGTATTATTTCACTTTTCCCATTTGTCATTCTAAATCAAAATTTTTTTCTATAATGTTAAATTCTATCTTATTTTTTATTTGTCTACTAATCCTATAATTTTACACTCCCTTACAAATCAAACTATAGAAAATTAATGTGATGCTCGCTAGTGACTTGCTACAGGTTGGTGTTTCCTGAGTTCTAGTGAGAAGTCATGACCAATGAGGTCCAATTAGATATCACGTGTGTGGATGGATGTCCCACCAACGATAATGGTTGGGGTCGCGCTAAATCACGAATTGGTAGAAGTTAGAATTCGTGAGCCATTGAATCGGGTGTGTCCCAGTGACTGAATAGTATACGAGCTTGCCTTGTAACCGGAAGGTCCTGGATTCGAATCCCATTGGGTGCGTACTTCCGATGATTCCCAAACTAGGATGAAACAGCAGCTGTCCAGTACTCCCTGGTTTTCAATGGTTCTCTAACTGATATCAATCCGTGATCAACTCGTAAAACAAAATACATCTTATGAATTATTCTATGTATGTCATTATTTGTTTTGCTACTTGATATTTAACTATGATTCTAATCACAAACATATTAATTGCATTTCATACTACTACTACTATTACTATTATTATTATTTTATGTGATCACACCTATGTTTAAATTTCTTCAAGGGGGTATAATTTCTTGAAAACCATATATATATATATATATATATGCGATTGTACAGCGTGATAATAAACTCTTCGAAATGAATATTTTCGCTTAATATTATGTACTTAATACTAATAATGTAACACTGTACGATAATATTTTTTTAACTAATTACAATTACTTGGGCGTACATAAACAACATAGATCAATTGTCAAATTTAAAGAAAGTAGAGTCGAAGTCGTATTGTTAGAGTACTGAAGCCTAATTAAACGGTGAAATGATATCTCTATATAAATCGGAGCAAGTGGAAAATTCGCAAACATCTGGTGAGTAATATAAAAAAGGCGTTCAGCGAGGAGTTACTATTTTTAGAGATATCATTCTCAAGCTATATTATTATTCCCTTGCGTTTCAACAATACATCTCCACTTTGTTCTTTTTTCTGCTGTCCTCTTCAGCTGGGTCCACGATTGACCAAACTCTCTCATCTCTTCTTCACACGATCTCCTCCATGTCAACCTCGAACACACGACTCACTCGTCGCTTCCCATTTGGATTCCACTAGCGAGCTTGGCGTGCGATGTCATTCGGCGGTCTCCTCAATGTAATCCCGACCCGATCCATCTCCAATTTCTCCTACATATTTTTTTGAGCGGCCAGCTCTTGGTTGGTTTGCTCCCAAAGTTTCTTGTTGCTTATTGTTTCTGGCAATTTGATCCTCAGTATGGAGCCAGCGAATTTGGCAGCTGTTGATGAAAGTCTGCAAGTTTGTTTGCTGGAAATCCTTTTCGTGACTGACACACACACACACTGCAAGTTTCTGACCCATATAGAAGAACCGACTTGACATTGGTGTTAAAAATGCGAATCTTGTTCCTTATGCTGACTGAGTGCAGAAAATTTCCAAACTGGTTTTAGATTGATAAATCTTGCCTTTCAGATTCTGCCTTTGACATTTTCGTCCGTTCCGCCGGCCTGTAGTTGACACGATGCTTCCCAGATAAGTAAAGGAGGCAACCACTGTTAAATCTCTCCCGTTGATGGTGATTGGGGTGCTGGTTGTTATTGCTGTTGATTGGTTATCTTCATCATCTCCGTTTTCTCTGGGTTTTCAAGCTGTACGGTCGCATATCTAACTATAATAGATAAATTATCTAAGTAACAAAAGGATTTATTTTCCAAAGTTGTGTCATTAGAATTGTAAGTTCTAGATGTCGATTGCATAATACAGGAAGAGTTATCCGGGGGTAGAAACTAAAATAAGCTATTTACCAATGTATTACTAAAAGGCCATTTTCCTGTAGTAATGTTGTGGTGAGAGCTGGCTGCTAGCCAAAATTGGTAGACAGTAATTTGCGTCAATGTTTATGTCCCCAATATTGGTCGTAAGAAAAATAAGATCAAAGACTGATTCAACAACCAATCACAGCAGCCTTTGCATAGGAGGATACAATTTGCAGATAGATAATCTGAACTTCAAGAAACGGCCACAAAGAGATGAAAGATTAACGTTCAGAGAGAAACAACCAATCAGAAGACTGTGTTTCTTTGCTTACAATAATCTATAATACTGTACATGAAAATCTATAAATATCTGTGGATTTCGTAAATAAACGATCTGTTTGGCTGGCCCTTGTCTTCTGTTGTTACAATGTAATATAATGTTAAACGTATCATATGAATATTAAAAGTACATGGAGAGTAATTATCATTTATAAGACAAAAAGGACTTTTAGTAAGCTATAATTATTACCTTGATAGAAGAATCATGAGATCCTGTTGCAACTAGTTGACCTAAAAGAGATAAGAAAAAAAGTAAAAACAACTCAAGAATTTGTTTATACTATAGGCATTTATCATGTTAACTTCTACATTAGGAATTATCTAACACTTTGGTCTGAATGCATTAAGAGTGCTTTAGATGACCCTTTATTCTATTGGAGAGAAATAGGGAGTGAAGTGGTAGAGCACGTTGACCACTTCACTTATTTCGGAAGTACCATCAGCCAGGGCCAATGAGTTGATCTCTGACGAAATCTTAGTACGGATACAGGGGGATAGTTCGCACATGCCAGTTTACGTCGTCTCTGGCTTAGTAGACGTGATATCCGACTGGCTATCGACCAAAGGGCGGATGTACTGCTCATCAGTCCGCTCCGTCCTCCTTTATGGCTACCTGTGAAACCTGGCCATTGAGAGTGGAAGACATGAAAAACCTGGCTAGCTGTCTTTGATCATAGGTTCCTGCGTTCTATCTCCCGTGTGAAGTGGCATAATAAGGTGAGCAATATTGAGGTTTGGCGTCGAGTTCTAGGTAAACAGGGGAAATCAATCGACGAAGTTGTGAAGTTACATCGACTGAGGTGGTTAGGACATGTGTTACGTATGCCTAGTCATCGCCTTCCTCGACGAGCAATGTTAGCGGATATAGGGTCAGGCTGGAAAAAAGCTAGAGGCGGTCAAACAAAAACTTGGCACCAGTCAATGAAATCTATAACAGTTAGTCTAAGCCACGTAGGAAGCTGTAGACTTCCTGACTGTTTGGGGTCCTCGAGATGGTAAAAACCAATGGTTGGAAACAATTGGTGACATGGTTCAAAATCGTTCTCAATTGCTAGTGCAGATGCATCCACTCCTTGTGACTTATGATTTACAATGAAACTGTTTTGTTCTTCGTTATTACTATTCCTTTGTCTCACACCTCTGTTTACTGTGTACTATTATACACTTCTTCTACTTTCTTCTCTTGCTTTGTGTGCTACAAGGAGGGAGTGTGGTGACTTGAACTACCGCACATATGTGCCAAGTTCTATGTCGAAAACAGACAGACTACGATCACCGAGGATGTTCCTAACTGTGGTGGACTGGATTATAACGAAAACCATGAAGAGTGAGAAGACAGAAGTACGTTGGGCCAAAAAGGAGACTCTAGAATATCTGGACAACACGGATGACTTATGCTGAGTGCCACAAAAACTCGCAGGCCTACAGGCGAAAACGAGCAGGTTGGATAGAAGAAGCAAATAAGACAGAGCTCAAGTGAATCTAGAGACGACAGATGTGATGAAGATACAAGGCGACCAACAATAACAACAAGCTCCAATCATTATCAACAGGAGAAATTTGAAGGACATCACCACCACTTTCGCTTATCTAGAAGGATCGTTTCAACCACATGTCGCAGAGATGAAGATATAACAACCAGTCAAGATCATCAAAGTAAGACAGACCCTCATTAGTCTGAAATCAGTGTGGAAATCTGCTGCGCTCGATATCAAAAACAAGATACAGATTTTCAACACTAATGTTCAGTTAGTTAGCGCTTCATTATATGGTTCCGATACATGGTGTATGCGTCGTCAAAAACCTGCTACTACAGGCTTTCATCAATACCTACCTTCGTAGGTACCATACTGAAGAACAGATAACTGGTCAGAAAGGATTAGCAAAAAGGAACTCTGGAAACTCACGAACCAATCAAGAACTTATTGTTCAACAAATATGTTGAAGGTAATGCAGATGTGTCGGACATACACCGAAAAGACCGTTAAGTGAAATGGTGGGCCAAGCCCATAAGTGGAACACCTGTATGGGAAACGACAAGTTGTATACTGAACAGAGACCTGGCGATTTGAGCGTGGGTCCAGGGGGATATGGATGAGATAGTGTGAGGAAGAGATGAGAGCTTATAGGTAATTGTGGGACCTCCTAAAAGAGGACTGTAGAGAACAGGATGAGATAGAGGTGTGCAGTTGAAGATCTGTACTCCAAACGGAACCCGAGGGAATAATAATAATAGTCGCTAGTAACTCCTATACTCTTAATGTCTATCTAAGAAAAGTCAAAGAGAAAGTGCATATCTGATTAATAATTTCTTTAATGGGAACATCACTTTCTTAACTTCCAAAATACAAATTGCAGGTGGATGCCATGTAACGAATAAAAGGGATTTTTCCCAACTGTCACTAGCAAACACAAAACTACCTACAATTAGATTAGAAAAAATGACCAGAATATTGCATCGGTGAATCAATAGTAGAATGCTAGCCAACCCATCTATGTGGTCCAGGGTTCGACTCCCAGCTGACGTACTCTTAAACTTCTCCTGGCCAGTAGCAAGCCTGATAAAGAGAGAAGGTTCGACGTGAGACCCATTGAACGCAACACCACGACTGTTGAAACTTCAAAACTCAAGCTTGGAGTCCTGTGTTCCACTCAGGACACGAAGGAATTGTTTAAAAAGAAAGGAGATATTATAAACTTATAAATATATTACGAAGTCAGGTAGAAGAAAACGTTCACTACTCTTTGTGAAAAAAAATAGTAAAGCTTTGCGTTACACGTATTTTCACACAGTTTCACATATATACGCTTGACTAATTATGCTTGTAGACGTAAACAGAAGTGAGCATTCTTTAAAAGAAAAGAATAACACAAATGAAGAAGAGGTGGATAGGTAGTCGGATTGAGAAGTTACGTTTTCTTTAAAAAATGGCGGACTATACTTTATCGACTAATATAATTAAACCAAAAGCCAATATATGTATATATATATATATATATATATATATATATATATATATATATATATACCGCCTTATCTTTATTTTCTTCTAAAATATTTTTGAACAGTAATTACAAAGATAGACGATAGATAAACTTGAGTGGCGTAATAGAAAAAAATAGTATTGGATGACAAAAGTGGCTCCTCATCGACTCTCAACCACTAGACTTCTAGTGAGTGGGTCTCCGCGTTTCGAGTCTCGATTCACCTACTTCAGCCTAAGTGAGTGGGGCAGCATTATCAGCCCCACTCACACCACCACCACCACCACCACCACCCAACGCAATAATTATCTGGCTTTATTTTGTGATGCATGAAAAATTCGTCCCAGATAACCGAGTGCCAGTACACCATAAAACACAACACATTCAATCAGCTGAATTATAAAAGTTGTGTTACTTAAGATGTTGTCTATTTGAGTTGTAATTACCTTCAACAACTCGATCCTCTATCAGATTCTCAAATATGCCCTAACCTTTCATGTAAGTAGACTGAAAATACACCTCGGTAAGCGAGAAGAATTCAAAACAAAAACAAAAAAAGAAAGCATTGATAGCCATTACAATGTTGAAGTGGCCCGGCTAGCTCAGTCGGTAGAGCATCAGACTTTTAATCTGAGGGTCGGAGGTTCGAGCCCCCCATTGCGCGGCGGCTTTTGGTGCGTCGGTGGCATAGCGGTTAGGACGCTCGCCGACCATGCACATGGTCCGGGGTTCGATCCCCGGCCGGCGCACTCCTTTACCTCGCTGAGCCAGTAGTGAAACTGGTGCAGAGGAAAGGTTTGGCATGAGGCTAGCAACCCCATGCTGTAAAAAAATAATCACCACTGCTACAGAAACTTCAAGCATCTAGCTTGGAGCCCTATGTTTCACTAGGAACGTGCAGGAAAACAAAGAAAAAACAATGTTGAAGTCGTTTCATTGATTCTCAAATACTTTGAATGAAATCATAATTTTATTTCCGACAATTGAAATTTTATGCAATTTACAATAATTAAATTGAATTCTAGATTTTCCTGTCGATTGGTTGGATCGAAGTGCTCGGTCTCAGGTTGACATGTCGGCTTCTTGGGCAGATGCTTCGACGATGTCTGGGCATGTAATTAGAAGTTAATTGGTGGATGGTGACTAGCAGTAGAATTCAGGATGCATATTTCGTCCTATTTGGGACTCGTCATCTGGATGTACCTGCGTTCCTCAGTGAGTGATGATGTTCCCACCGAGGCTCAAATTCAGTGCCCATAGTTTCAAACGCCAAAGCGTTATCCACTAGACCAATCGGGCCACAAGAGCCACCTCTTGTCCAATGGGTCTTACTAATCATTTAATTCAATTCAAGATTTTCTCGTCAATTGATTGGGTTCTAGCCTCGTTAGGAACATCATCACTTAATGGGGAGTGCAGGTGCATCCAGCTGACGGGTCCCAAATAGGACGAAATGGACGTTATCCTGAACTGGATCCCACTGCTAGTCACCATCCACCAATTAAATTCTAACTTACAATAATAATGAAGAGATCATGAAGTACGCTTGTGGTGAGAGCAGCCTGCTAGCCAATTGGCTGACAATCTACGTCAATGTCTAGGTCACTAATATGGGCCGTGAGAAAATATGAACAAGGCTGTTTCAGCAACCAATCACAGCAAACTTAAACGTGGGCAAATATGATTCGCAGATAGATGGCTCCACTTCCCGAGGAACTCGAAAACAACCAATCAGAAGACTGCGTTTGTCTACTTGACTAGGCTATAATAATGTATGTGAAATTTATATGAATACGTGTTGATTTTCGTAATAAAACGATCTATCGTCTGGCCCTTGTCTTCTGTTGTTACACGCTTAATTGGCCTGAAAATTTATAAGTTGAACTCTAAATTCAATGTCTACACACGTAAACACCCACTGAAAGTAAACAATGCTCAACTCATGTTATTATTAATGAGAAATAGAACAACAAAGAGAATAAATAACATATATTGAAATGTTATGCTAAAGAAACTTTTATCATACGTTACTATAATATTCATCACAATTCTTGTTCGTTGAACACAAGAAAAGTGGATGAACGTGTAATTAATAGACGAAAAGCTAAATTATTTGATTGGTTACAGGATTTCATCATGGGCTGACACTGGTTAGAGAACCATTGGAAAACCCGGGTGCAGCAGGTCGGGTGTGAGGACAAATACTCACCGAAGACATTGGCTAGTGGTTGCGCTATTTCGTGAATTGACAGAAGTTAGAATTCATGGGCCATTGGATCTCGTCCCAGTGGCTTACTGGCATACGAGTTCGCCTTGTAACCAGAAGGTCCTGGGTTCGAACGTAGTGGCGGGTGCGTGCTGATGAAGAGTTCCACACTAGGACGAAGCAGCTGTCCAGTACTCCCAGGTTTTCCAATGGTTCTCTAACCAATATCAACTCATGGTGAAATCCTGTAAACACTCAAATCCCTATAAAACCAACACTTAAATTATTTGAAACAAATAAATAATTCTAAGATTATAATGAATTCTAAGATTAATAAGCCGGTAGTTAGAAATCGAATGACACAGTAGGCTTATCCACTTTATCCTATGCTACAGAATTTCTTGAGTTCTAAGTGGAACATTCAGCTTCAGGTTTGATACTTTGCAAATCGTAGCATTACGCCCAAACTCCCGTCTATTGGCTGGTTAACTAGGTGAGGTCTAGGTGTGTGTCAGGTGGAAATCGGGTCCGGGTCACGTGCGTAGTTGGGGAGTTTTTTACCACTGAACCATCGATGCACAATTTATTAACTAACAAATTATAATTTAATTTCTCTTTTTGATTATCCGGATTAAACAATCAACCAATTAAACATGAATTTATTTTACTGCTTATTTTAACACACTCCTGACCCTGCTATTTTTTCTATTCAAGTTGTTGTAAATTGTAAAAACCCGAATTGTGAAAGGTTCACCAACTTGCACCTAAATAACTCATCTTCTTTCGAGATGTCGATTTCATCATGGACGGACATCAGTTAGGAAATTATTGAAAACCACGGCTCTTTTGTTTGAGTTTGGGGCTGTTCAACAATGTAGACAACCAGTGGACCCAACACCAGTCAGAATTCACGGGTCATTGTAAATCAAGACCACTGACTGAGTGCCAACATGTTTGGCTCATGTCCCAAATATCCTGGATTCGTCCTCTGCAGGGTTCATGACTGTTCAGTGCTGGAGTCCTAAGCTAAGAGGGGACATCAGTCCAGTGCTGCTTGCTTTACTAGTAAGACCGACCCAAAATGACTCTAGAGAATTGTTGGCAGGAAACAGTCTTATTGACTTAAGATACGTGTATGATATAGTGTTCTTAAGTGAAGACGCTAATAAAATGCAGAGCCTTCTACACACCTTCAGCAGAAATCTTGGTATGTTGGACATACGATTTGCTTCTTCCAAATCTAAGATGATCCTGCAGAATTAGACTAAACCGACTCCTAACTTAAGAATAGGGAGTGAAGTAATACAGCGTGCTGATCACTTCATTTATTTGGGAATTTACACCAGCTCCAATAGACTGACGAAATCTCAGCATGGATACCAACAACTCGTATGTCGTTTGCCAACTTACGCCATCTCTGGCGTAGATGTGATATCCAGCTATCCACCGAAAGACATGTGTACTATACACCACTTCGCTCTAACCTCTACGGTTGTGAAACATGGCCATTGTAAGTATTAGTTATGAGGAGGTTAGCTAGCTTCGACCACTGATGTTTGCCTTCTATCTTCCGTGTTAAGTGTTATAATATGTTAAGTAATATTGAGGTAAGCATTAAGTACTAGGTAAGGAGGGCAAGTCAGGTTATGAGTCTAAATCCATTAGGATGGTTAGGGCATGTGTTGCAAATGACAAACCATCACCTTCCTCGACGGTCAGTGTTAGCTGACACGAGATTGGGTTCGAAAAGTTAGGGGTAGTCAAAGCAAAACCTGTCATCAGTCCATGAAGGTGTAAACGGCCTGATGCAGGTTCTCGGAGTTCTATGAACCCTTGGCTTGAAACTGTTGATGATAAAAATTCAAAATCGATCTCAGTCAGCTTGTTTTCAATGATTCTCTAACTCATGCGAGCTTGTAACGAAATCTAAATAGGAATTGATACAACCTCTAATAACTCAAAATCCTCTTTCCATGACAGTATTTTATTTAGTACCGTTAGTCTGTAGGCATTATCTAACAATGGTAAGTGAACTACTGCACCTTCCATCCGAGTCCATTTAGTCAGCATGACAGTATTAACTGAATAGAAAGAAACAGCTTCATTGGATACATTTTATAACTTTACACCAGACGTCGAAATGACTAGCTTTGAAGTTTGAGTTGAGAATTTACAGGTTAACAATTATACTACTTTTATACATACTGAGTAGCTTACATACATATTCGAAATTGTATAGTACACCATCACAGAATCAGTAAACAAGTATAAATACGGCAGAAAACATTAAAAGAAGTCGTGTTTGTTACCTGTATTATTAAAGGATGCCGCTCGACATGCTGCTTTGTGAGCTGTTACATAACAGGTCTCATAAAGTGCTGCTTCAGGGGCCATTGTCGAACCTATGAGAGGAAAAAAAATTTTAATGAAAATTTTTAAAAAAATGAAACGTCTTAATTAACAAGTAATATGACTTGTCCAGTCTTATGAATAAATGGAATCTTGTTTAGGGAAACCGTGGCTTCTCAAGTGAAAGTGTTCAAATAAATAAGAATGCAGTATATATTAAGTAAATAATTCGTTTAGAAACACGAACAGCCCATTATCCTTGAATCGTTTAGATAATTAAGAGCAAGTACTCAGTAAGGCTGCATGTTGTTCGTAAACTAGACATGTCAGTTCAAGTAACACCTACAAATGAGCTGTTTATTATCTGTAGTCCATTTTGGCTGGCTTCACGATTTTTTCTTTGTTCCATTACGTTTCCAGTGGAACATAGGGCTTCAAGCTAGAGGCTTGAAGTTTTTGTAGTAATGTTACTTATTTTTACAGGATGGGGTTGCTAGCCAGCCTCATGCCCAACCTTCCCTCTTTGCCAGTCTGATTGTCTGTCTGTCTGTCTGTTTTCGACATAGAACTTTGCACAAATGTGCGGAAGTTCAAGTCGCCACATTCCGTGTAGCACGCGAAGCAAGAGAAGAAAGTACAAGAAAAGCAAATAGAAACAGTGAGCAGAGGTGTGAGACAAAGGAGTAATAAAGAAATACAAAACAGTTTCATTGGAGATCATAAGTCACAGGGAGTGGATGCATCTGCGCCACTGAGAACGATTTTGAGCCATGTCACCAATTGTTTCCAACCATAGATTTTTGCCGTCCCGAGGACCCCAGCCTGGAAGTCTACACCTTCCTACGTGGCTAAGACCAACTGTTGTGGATTTCATTGACTGATGCCAAGTTTTTGTTTGACCGCCGCTAGCTTTTTTCCAGCCTGACCCTATATCCGCTAACATTGCTCGTCGAGGGAGGCGATGGCTTGGCATACGTAACACATGTCCTAACCATCTCAGTCGATGTAGCTTCACGACTTCGTCGATTGATTTCCCCTGTTTACCTAGGACTCTACGCCTAACCTCCATGTTGCTCACCTTATTATGCCACTTTACACGGGATATAGAACGCAGGCACCTATGATCAAAGACAGCTAGTCTTTTCATGTCTTCCACTCTGAGTGGCCAGGTCTCACAACCATAAAGGAGGACGGAGCGGACTGATGAGCAGTACACCCGCCCTTTGGTCGATAGTCGAACATCTCGTCTACGCCAGAGTCGGCGTAAACTAACAAATGCGAAACGAGCCCCTTGTATTCGTGCTGAGATTTCGTCAGAGATCAGCCCGTTGGGGCTGATGGTACTTCCCAAATAAGTGAAGCGGTCAACGTGCTCTACCACTTCACTTCCTATTTCTAAACTAGGAGCCAGCGTAGTCCAGTCCTGTAACATCATCTTGCATTTGGCGGGAGCGAATCGCATGCCAAACATTCGTAGATTGCTGTTCAAGGTGTTTAGAAGACTCTGCATTTCGTCAGCGTCTTCGCCTAGAAGGACTATATCGTCTGCATATTCCAAGTCAACGAGATTATTCCCAGGTAGCAAGTCAATCCCTGAATCGCTGAAGTCACCTAGGGTTAAGTCCATTAACACATCTATGATGAAGTTGAATAGAAAAGGAGATAATGGGCATCCTTGACGGACACCACTGGTCGTCACCAGTTCAGATGACAGCTCGCCGTAAGCCCTCACCTGGCTGTATGAGTACGAATAGAGTGCCTTAATCAGTGCAATATATTTTCTCGGAATTCCCTTTACAGCCAAGCATCTCCAGAGAACTTCCCGATCGACAGAGTCGAATGCTGCCTTTAGGTCAAGAAATATAATGACTGTTGGACGCCGGTAGGAATGCCTATGTTCTAGAATCTGTCGGAGGGTGAAGATATGATCAATACACCCTCTTCCTGGTCTAAAGCCTGCCTGGCTCTCTCGTGTTTGTGCTTCCCGAGCACCACTCAGTCTACGCATGATTATTGAGCCTAAGACTTTAGATACTATATTAGTCAAGCTAATCCCTCTGTGATTATCACAGGAAGACTTGTCTCCCTTCTTGTATATGGGGATAATCAGTGACTTACACCAACCCGATGGGACTTCTTCTGATTCCCAAACGTTGCCTAGTACCTCAGTTAATCCGGACAGTAAGCTGTCTCCACCGTACCTAAATACCTCTGGAGTCATTCCATCAGGTCCCGCTGCTTTGCCTAGTTTCAGATTGGTGACAGCTTTAGTAACCTCAGTTAGTGACGGAGGACCTGTATCTATATCCCATTCAGGGAGGTGTTGGATGCTCGGAAGGTTGAGCGTGGCTGTGGGCAAATTAAACTGCTCCTCATAATGCTCTTTCCAACGATCCAGTCGTCTATCCTGTGAGCTAATTATAGTGCCATTTTTTTCCGAGATTGTCTCACTAATGATTTGTCTTCTCCCATCCGTTTCCCTGATGAGTCCAAAGAGTTGCCTGGTGTTGCCTATCCTCGAAGCTTTCTCCATCTCTTTGGCTTTTGTCGCCCACCACTGTTCACGGTCCTTGCGGAGACTTTTCGTAAGTTTCCTCTTGTGCAGCCAGTCTGATTACTGACTTAGTGAGGTAAAGCAGTGCGTCGGCCGGGGATCGGTCCCCGAGCCACCTGCGTAGTTGGCCAGTATCCTACCGTTGTGCCACTAATGCACACGATTACGATTAACAGTGGGTATTTATCTCCTCATTGTCACCCTCAGACCTACGTCCAAATCGTCGTTTCTAATTTGGGTTTCATCCAAGGACCTGATGATCAATGTTATGCAACGGTCTCCTCAGTGTGTGTGTGTCTAGCCCATCTCCAATTCCTTTGGCATATTTTTGGAGTGACAGGATTTTCAATTACTTCCTTGATGCAGTCACTTGTTGCTACCCGTTTCCGACCAGTCATGTGATCTTCAGTGTAGAGTGAAGAAGGCAAATGTTGGTGAAAGTCTGCAGTAGCCTGTTGAAATGCTTCTCATGACGCTTGCGCTGAGCCTCTGAACCATTCAGAAGTACTGACTTGATATGATTGTTAAAAATTCGTTTCCTGTCCCTTATGCTGAGTGCAGTAGATTACCAAATTGATTTTCGGCATAGTGAACACTTGTCTTGTCGTTTCAATTCTAGCTTTAACATGCCCATCTGTGCTACTACCTGCATTTGAAACCATGATGCCAGGAAATTTGAACAGGTGACTTCCTTAATACTTCTTTCATTGATGACTGGTGCTTGTAGGTAGTGGTGGTGGTTGCGTATCTTGAGCTAGTTATGTAGACCTTAGTAACGGTATTTCCTTTAGGACCTTTACCAGACTCTAAAAACACGCCAGTATTGTGTAAAAAAAATGTACCATTTTATAAAGTGACAATTAAAACAACTATAAAAATTAAGAATGCATTGACGTGTCAACCAATATGCAGTTTATATATATATATATATATATATATATATATATATATTCCCATATGTGAACACATTGATACTATAAACGGCAATTAAGAAGGCAAGCATAATCGTATGATGGTATGTACAGATGATTGGTTGACATGATTTTTGCGAATAGTATCTTACTATTCATATCAATTATTCAGTAGAGTATGTCATCGCTGTAAAAATAATAGATGTCTACTATAAAGTGTATGGATGCACATGCTGTTAACAACTACTACAAATCAATCCACGTCACATTACATGGGAGAAAAAAAAGCAGTTGTCAGAGTTAGAAGTGATTGAAATACGGAAAAACTCACGTAAAATATTTAGGACATTAGTAATGTGGACCATTGGCCATTGATTTATCAAAATAAAATCTTATCCATAATGGAGTTATACTCTACCACAGTGCCCAAGTTTTATACTTATATCAATAATACATATGGACCATTGGCTACTCTACAAAGTAGTTTTTTAATGGGGAGCTCATTCTTAGTGGGTCTCTTCAGTGTGTAGCGCAGTGTTATGGGGAATTTAGTGGCGACCTACTTTTAATTGACAAGATGGTTTTTAAAGTAAAAGTTGCAGTCTAATTTTTGTTGTTGAACTAGCTTTATGTATTAACTCGCTAAGAGTTGGATAGTGAAGAAAGAAGAATACTCTTTCATTAAACTGTGGCTTACCCGACCGATAGCCGCTACCTTGATGTGGTGGTCGAGCTTGCATATCACAATGACCCAACAAGCTACACTGACTGAAGTTAATGTTCGTGCAGGTCCTACCGTGGTGGTATGATACAGACAATTTATTCCAATGGAATATTATTCTCACATATTCCCACAGTTCAATACTGTATTAGCAACCGAACACTATGTATGTATTTCAACATCCCATTTCAGGTCGTTAATGTAACCCAAAATCATACGCTTAGTGATTAGTTAAAGAATATAAACTGTATATACATAAATAACCATTTGATCGATTTAAAATATACCTTGGCTTCCGTGTCTTGCCTTCTGTTGTCACATTACTATGTCAGGAAGACTGTTAGGATAACGATTAGACTGAAAGTTGCTACCGGTATAGTGTAAGATTTTTTAACACAATGCTGGAGGTCTGTGGGAAAAGTCGTACTGCTGGCGAATAGGAATATAACAGGAATAAGGTGTTTCCCTCAGGTGACCAGCTAGCCAACTATGCTGTCTCTCCATTCCGGAGAGAGGGCGTTAGAAAAGGTCGACCCCAAATGTTAGTAATCCAAACTTAAAATACAGTGGTCCATAGCCAGCGGTAAATTATTAATACGGAATCAAATCTAAAAGCCATTTCAGACAGGCCGTGTGTAATCGAACTCAAGCAGTCGTCCCCTGGGCTCTGCGGTCACGCAACACTAACTCTCCTTCTGTTTCAGGCACCCCAAGAAAAAAACTTCCACGGTGTGGACAGCCGGGAAGTAACAACCGCCCACATGCTTCCAAAAGCACATGAAGCCCTCCTGATCATCCTTCTACTTTATCTCAGTCACCCTCATTATTTTGCTTCCATACTACTGACAGTACTATTCTGCAGGCCAGTCAGTCATCTTCATTTCATTCTCTGAACACAAATAGCGACAAGATTCAGAAAAATACCACCAGTAGCCACATTGCAAACTTCATATTGGGGCATTTAACATCAGCTCCCTCTGCCAAATCGGACAACAGGCATCACTAGCAGGAACTCTGACATTTCGAGCCATGGATGTATGCTGTTTCGGAGACACTCGTACAACGCCCTAGTTATTCACCTCGTCTGACCAACAAGGTGAATATGCAAAAATCACATTACGGGTGTTAGGAGATTCTTCAGCTAGTTTACAAAGACTTGCAGGTGTAGGGATAGCATTAAGTGTTAGGGCAGAAAAATCACTTCTTGACTAGATCCCGGTAGATAGTTGTATGTATGTGGTCTGTCAGAACGGGTTCGTCAGAAGGAGGATGGACGGCATTACTGTCGTTGTCTTCTCATAGTCTCTGCATACGCCTCAAATGACTACAGTTTGGATGAACTAAACGATGGTTTCTAACAGAAACTGTCTAGTTTGCTGCAAAAAACAAAGCGCTCAGAAACAGCCTTTTTGGTAGACGACTTCAATGCCCAAATATAGAGGTTATCCTAGAATGAGAAGTATATTGGTGGTACCTACGGAGTTCCCTGATGAAGAACCGACAACGGTAATCATCTTCTACAGTTCTGCTGAGATAATCATATGTTCCTAGTGAGCACTAACTTTAGGCACAAAGAGACACATTGCCTAACCTGGAGACATCTATCACCAAATCAACGTTGAACTAAAATAGACCACATAGCGATAGGCTACCGTTGGCGATGGTCAGTAGGAGAATACTGCTCCTTTTAGAACACGTGCATAGACTTCAATCACGCCCTGGATCGCACACGTTTATGCTTATGATTAAATGGATATAAAAAACTGTTGGTAGAGAAGCAGTTACGCCTCCAACTTCATCCGGTAACCGAGTCCCGATTTAAGGAAGAAATAGTGAAACTCGTATCTTATATTGACAACAAGACTCCTCTTGAGGAAGCCTGGCACATAATACAGTTAGTCGTAGACACAGTTGCAAAGGCTGTTTATAACCTAAAACCAAAGGTTAGTGAAAACCAGTGAATTTTTACTATCTCGTCCGAACTGGTAGACGCAAGAAGACAGATTCCGGCGAGCTCCGAATATGATGAGGAGCGAAAAGCTGCTCAGGCGTAAACCAACCAGAAGTCTACCTAACGATCATGAACAGTGGTGGGCAACAAAAGCGAAAGAGATGGAAAAGACTTCAGCGATAGGTAACACCGGGCGACCACGGAAACAGGTGACAAAATGCAAATGACAAGTGAAACAATCCCCAAGATAAGTGACGCCTTAATTAGCTTCCAGGATAGAGGACTGAAACGTTGGAAGGAACACTATGAGGAGCAGTTTAATTGGCCTACAGCCACGCTCAACTTACCAAGCATCCAACAGCTCCCTGAATGGGATATAAACACTGGCCCTCCATTCCTAGCTGAAGTTACCAAAGCTGTCTGTAATCTGAAACGAGGCAAAGCAGCGGGACCCGAAAGAATGACTTCCAGGGGTGTTTATGGACGGCGGAAACAATTTACTTTCTAGGTTATACTAGGGTATTGGGCGACATCTGAGAATCAGAGGTAGTCCCGTTGGACTGGTGTAAGTCACTGATTATCCCGATATACGAGAAGGAAGGTCTTTCTGTGATAATCACAGGGGGATTAGCTTGACTAACCTGGTGCCCTAAGTTTTAGGTTCAATAATCATGCGTAGATTGAGTGGTGCTCGGGAGAAGCAAATAAGAGAGAACCAGGCAGGCTTTAGACCGGGAAGATGATGCATCGACCATATCTTCCACCCTTCGAGAGAGAGGTACTATGGCGATGTTTGGCCATGAAGGGAATGCTGAGGAAGTACATTTCACTGATCAAGGCACTCTACTTGAGCTCATGCAACGAGGTGAGAGGCTACGGAGAGTAGTCATCTGAAGTTGCTCACTGATTTCTGTTTAATTTCATCATAGATGTACTGATGGACTTAACCCTAACTGATTTCAATGACTCAAGCAGTGATTTGTTACCAGGGAATAATACCGCTGACTTAGAATATGCAGATGACAAAGGCCTCCTAGGTGAAGATCTTGACAAAATGCAGTCTTCTGAACACCTTCAGCAACAACCTACGGATGTTTGGAGTACTATTTGTTCCCGTGAAATGTAAGATTATGCTACAGGACTGGACTACATTGACTCCTAGCTTAAATTAGGGAGTGAAGTGGTAGGACTTGTTGACCACTTCTCTTATTTGAAGAGTTGCATCAGCCAACGCCAGCGGCTTGGTCGCTGACGAAATCTCATCACGGATACAGAAGGCTCGTTTGGTATATGCCAGCTTACGCCACCTCTGGTTTAGTAGACGTGATATCCTGCTGTCTGTCGACCAAAGGGCGTGTGTACTCGCCAGTAATTCACTCTGTCTTCCTTTATGACTGTGAGACATTGCCATTGAAAGTGGAAGATACGAAAAGGCTAGCTATCTTTGACAATAGGTGTATGAGTTCTATCTGCCGTATTAAGTTAGGTTAATAAGGCGAGCAATGTTGAAGTTAGGCATCGGACGGATGCTAGATAAAGAGGGGAAATCAATCAACGAGGTTGTAAAGTTACACCGATTGAGATGGTTAGGACATGTGTACGCATGCCTAGCCATCGCCTTCCTCGACTATGGGCAATGTTAGCTGAAATAGGATTAGGTTGGAAAAGAGCTAGCACGTAGTGGTTAAACCAAAACATGACATCACTCAATAAAATCCATAACAGATTAAGCCAACCACGTAGGGGTGTAGACTGGCTTCCTGGAACCTCCGGGTCCTCAGTATGGTAAAAACCAGTGGGTGGAGACAATCGGTCATATGGATCAAAATCGTTCTCAAAGGCGCAGATGCATTCACTTTTTGTGACCTATAATATCCAATAAACTCTATTGTTCTTCCATATTACTATTCTTTTTGTCTCATATTTCTGTTTATTATCTCTCTTTACCCTCTCCTCTGCCTTTGTGTGCTACATAGAAGGAGAGTGGCAACTTGAACTGCTGCACATCTGTGCAAAGTTCCACGTTGAAAACAGTCAGTCAGTCAGACAAGGCTGCAATTCATAACTAATTACAAATACTCAAATGTGCTGATGCATTACAAAAGCAAGTAGCATAACAACCCAAAGCTACTATCACTTTTGAAAAGAATGGAAGTGTCACTCATTGGCTTAGGCACTAGATTTTCAGGTTCGAAACCCACTTCACTTACTTCGACCTATGGAACTGGGTAGTATCATCAGCCCTTAGCTTAGAATATGACAGACACAAGTTTTGGGAGGTAGAAACAGGGAAATAAAACGAAGAATAGAAGAAGTATTTAAAATCTTGGCAATGAAATGAAACTAAAGGAACAGCTCAGGTGAATAGGATGAAACCCGATAAAGCATAATTTTTCAGGTTTCATATTTTGCATTTGCAGGTCACTGCGACAAAACAGTACACATTTACTAAGGTTGAAGAGCGGGAGCTTTGCGAATTAAGTACTAATAGTGGTGTAAATAGTGAAATCAATTTATTCTGTGTATATAAGTACCATCATGACTGTGAAGATGTAGCTCATCGGCTTAAGCACTTGACTCTTAGCTAGAAAATCTCGACTCTCCTACTTCAGCCTAAGAAACTTTGTGGTATAATTATCCCTCACAAAATAAGTGCGGCTCACAGTCTAGTACATGAAAAATGCGTCTTGGGTAACTGAGACACAACAGTAATCATTATCACTTACTAGAATATACAAGAAACATGGTTAACACAAGGTCTATTTGAAATAACCAGCACTATATTAAGCGTGGTTTCAGTCACTCTAAGGTGCGCCTTTCTTACATAAAGTACACAGTGTCAACAATCAATAAAAAGAATACGTGAAATATTTGTTTGTAAATATACGAAACAAAAGTTTAAAAGGCTATGACATTTTAAAAAGAATGCCTTACTTTCACTTTCAACTTCAAGATCGATGCCAATACCTGGAGCAATACTTTCGCCCTCCAGAACACCCGACTTTTCTTGTTCATCTGAATCAATAACACATCAATTCAAATATATGTTAGTGCTAGCTTTACAACAAAGAATATATGCAAATTCTATGAATACGTAATCACGACTGCAGACTATTATGAAAGCATGCAGAAAGCTTCGTTGAATTCCGTTTATTTCAGTTTACAAACTAGTGTATCCGCCTTGAAGATTTCCCTTTTCTAAATTTCAACACCGGAGTATAACTGGGTGTATATTATACATGGTTTATGAGTGTGCTTACTGGTGTGGATCTCACAAAGTGCAGTCACTTATGATGCAGTATATATATATATATATATATATATATATATATATATATACAAATATAATGTCACTTCCAGAAATATTTATAAGCTTAGGTAAAAGAGAAGTAAAAGTTATCAAACAGCTCATTACCAGCCCAAAGTGTGGATACACATCGCAGCATTTAAAAACATTAGTTTTTACCATGTTATGGAGGCTTCCATCAAAATTTCCTACTTTTGCAAACTTTCCCTTGCTAAGCATAGCAGAACCGGTAGCTAGTTTGTTTTTCTATCCAAATTTTTGTGTGCCAAAGTAATTTGTTTGATCTAATAGCATTTAACATTTAGGTCACATACGACTGTAGTGATTTATCAAACGCATCAATCCAAGTACACATAACTATTACCTTTGCAATTTTATTACGCTTAACTCAATATTTTGCACCTAGTTCCACGATTTGTCATAAAGTACACACATTTTTTTTCTTTCTAACTTTTACACACAAAATCCACAGGTTACCAGTTAGGTTATAAAAATATTTGCATGGCGTTATTACTATCACCGAGAGTTTTTAAATATTCAAACAGTCATTATATGGAGATAGAAATGTATACTGCTTGGCTAGGGCCGATCAGTGAACAGTTTTGACGTAGGCGGAAACCGTATAGTGGCGATAACACATTTACTCCTCATTAGATTAATAACTTCAGATATTTCCACTCCTATTCATGAAATTACTGTGCATTTTTCTTCTCTAAAACTCATTTTTATTCCTTGTATTATTATTGTTCTTCCTGTCAATTTTATGTTACTACCAATATATAGGAATGAGAATTATCTAGACAAGATATAGAAGTTATCTGAGTGAATTGATATGATTGTGGGCATTAAATTTTGTGCCAAACGTCACCAGTAAATAATACGGTGTCACTATGCGATTTTATTAAGTGAGTTTATCCTGTGATGAGATTATACTATACCACAATGCCCAATTGGGCATTGTGGTATAGTATACAAGAATACAATTTGTTGTATTCTTGTATACTTGGAAATATTTGTACTACATTTAGTTAGGGCCTAAATGTTAAGCCATACCAAAAATGAAACAAAATAGCTTTTAAGTGTATAACAGAAATCTGGACTACCTTCAGAAGCAGAAAGACCAATTTTTACAAGACGAAACAGACGGTTTGACGGGCCACATGTAGTTGAAGGACTCACCAAATTAACAAGATTAACGGCCATAGTTTGGAAGCCGTCATAAAACAGTTGACTAGGACAAAAAGAAGTTATAAAAGTACTTACCTTATAATGAGTCGATACAACAGGTCTCTCTCCTTAAAAGACATTGGTAACGCAACAACAGTTTCTCCCGCCGTGTACAACAAACCACGACCTATAAAAACGATAACAGACTATGTTGTTAGTTTAAACCCTTCATCGTGGCTAAGTTTTATATCAAATAAGCCATTACTGCATGTAATGACATCATTTTTCTCTGGTTGTTAGTTCTTTAAATCTATATCTAATGCTAAATGGCTCCACTGAGTATTTGGGATGTTATTCTGGGCTGAAATTATCCAGCATGCTCAAGGTCATTGACGGAGTGAGACGCTCAAGGGTCATCTTCGTCCATGTTAGTCGGCCATGTTGGATTGCATTTCCATAGCCGTTCGTTTACACATCGGTTTTCCCGTTTATCCTGCATTTATTCACAACTTATCTTGATGCGCATTGTTCACAAATGTTGTGTTTCACCTCATTTTTGTTTCCGTTGCTGTTAAAATTACTAATTTCGGAAGTTTTTACCACCAGGGCAGTGCATTCATTCCATTACAATTGTTTCACACGTTGTTTTCATGCCTGGTTGGAATGTTTTAGTTGTTTTTCAGCTACTAATGAAGTAGTTCTGCGTGGAAGTTTAGGAAAATATGCACGTGAACGTGTTAAGCTGACAAAAGCCGTTGTTTTTGGTCCATTTGCTGGTTGCCGTTATTGTTTCTTGCTCAAGTGATTAATTGGTATGTAGAAATCTGGAAAAAGCAATGTCTTTCACATGCACGTTTACAGTTTGCAGCAATCTGCGAGTCAATCTGGTGAGGAGAATACGACCAGGTTTGATATTGGCAAGGTTTACGAAAAGGATATTAAACCTGGAGATTCCAGAACGCGGTTTGAGGTTGAAAAAGCTTTGAAGCTTTTCGAGAAGCTGAGTATACCATCAGTGTATATTATCAGTTAAAGAATCAGATATATTGTCAGAGAATCTATATCAAACAAGGTTGAGTCACATGAGAAGTATGAATTTGTTGTGCCTGTATGTAGTTTTGGAACTGAAGGAAACTTGAAAGCAATGCGAAACCCCTGAATGGTAAGTGTTACCTATCCTTATTAATGCCCAATTTACTAGATCCAAATACATGAACTAAATCCGCCTGTAGCAAAGCCATTGTTAACGGCCATCCAATGTGTTGCAAAACCACTTCAAAAGCGGATAACATGATGATCTGGTGAGTGTACGAACTATCCCAGTTAAAGGTAAGACTTTAATTAGCGAGAATAACATTCGGGTTGTGGTCTACAACAAGCTGAGGAGCTGATTATTATTCGGGGTGAAAATATTGGCTGAATACAGATTGCTTGTTTCATTTCAAATAATGAAATTCCCATTTTGTGGATGTTTGTGATTTCTCCGTGGCTATAAATACGGATGCCCCTGGTCTAAGAAAACTAAAATTTTCCTTAAACCATTGGTTTTCTTTTTCTTGGTGAAACATCTGTTAATACTATTATGAGATTAGGTATCAAAGTAGGATTTTCTGTGATTAAGAATCGTAGTCGTCGTGTTACGGATTAATATCGCGCTTGCAACTGTTATAACCCTATGAATATGGGTTTTCTCTCATGGTACATTATGATATCTAGAAGTCATAAGCATACCGCCTTCGGTAAATTTATTCCTACTTTTTAAGTGACTGCAAATTGTGAGTCATTTGAGGTGATAGGATGAATACCTCTAAACGCTTTCGTGAAGATTAGGATATATTCATTTTTTCGACTAGGAGACGATTTTTTTACCAAGAAGGTTCCCAGGATGTCCGCTTTTACTTTGAAATTCAAAGGTAATGTTAAGTTGCTCGGTAAGGTAGTAGCTAAGGGTGATTACCTTCAGCGGAAACCACTTTAAGGTAACTACGTAGCTTTAGGTAATGCGTCACAGAAGTAAGTAGTGTAGGTTAATTGTGTTCAAATATATTAAACGCTGTATAACTGGTCAAATCGTAGCTCTTACATACTAGTTAGTCCTATGAATAATGAATGCACCGTACTTTGATTTGCATACCAAGCTGATAAGCATTATACCTGCATGTGGTATACATTTAAGGCTGATACGCTGTATGATGAGTTCTGCGAAACACGGTTGTATCATGATTAAAGCAAGAAAAACAGGTCAAGTATAGGTAAGATGCACGGACGGACAAACTGTAAGAGGAGGGGATGAGTTATGCTTGAGTGCCTTAACTTCTTAATGTGAACAGTCAGACGAAATATTACTTTAGAAATCTCTTAGACATGGGAAGACCAGGATTGGTCAGAAGAAAGAATTGATCCAAGATACTTAACGTCGGACTTGATTTATACATCACTCATCAATTATACAACGGTAATGGGAATTAACAGCTCCATTTGAGTTTCTTTTACATCTAAAACTGAAATTAACTGCCTGACATTTGGAAGGATTTAGTTTAAGGCCGTTAGACGAAGACCATTTGCTAATCCCTGATAAAAAGCTGTTCATTTTAGTACTGTTTAGCTGGGAGTTGACAGACACTGAAATAGTTAGATGATCGGCATACTTAACAAAGTAGATATTCAAACACTGCAGTTGTTGATCATAGAAATGATGGATACTAGATAACATCACATGATTTAACAGCGTATCAGAAATAAATAAAAATTGTTTCTTAGCTCATCGCCAAGTAGACAGTCTATTTGACGATGCCACTGCATATTAACTGATTAATGAAGTAGATATCAACCCTAATTTCCTACATTTACTTGTGCTACATACTTGGCGTTTAGCAGTATACAGACTTGCAACTGGCTAAATAAGGCGACTTTAGCGTAACGAACATTACGGAATTATTATTCAACTTGCTAAATACTACTTAGTTTTTACAATGTGCTATTGTATAGAAACAGATGCGAAATCCTATGAATGATTACAGTAAGTCTCATACTATAGTCAATCTCCATTTGACTAACTAGGCTTAGCATGCATTAAAACGAATGCACGTACTACAAAAGCGCATAGTATAGCAACGCGCTGAAGAAGTTCAAAAGAGGTAGAAATGATGAGTATATTAAAAATTTTCTTAATTTACAGAAGAAAATTTTGATGAAGGCTATTAGCGTTAGCTTGACAGATTGACATTTTCACTGACTTCACATACCACAACCTCCATATACCTAAAATATGAAGTAAAACACGAATTTATGAAAGATAATTTTATATATTATTATACACCGATTATATTAATACTAAGTAAAGCTCTCATAGTGCGTCGGTGGCATGGCGGTTAGGACGCTTGCAGACCATGCACATGGTCCGTGGTTCGATTTCCCGCCGACGCACTCTGTCAATGGAGTTGAAGATTGAACGATCAATTCTTGGTTGTTTGCTCAAAATCAACTTCCCCGATTTTCGCGGAGGCATCAATACGACAGTCATCGTCTCATCGGTCGCTGTTCAGAAAGAAGAGTAAAATATCGTCAGAAGTAATATAACGATTTATTATTGTAATATTTGTTTACAGACCTTAGTTCGCTTATTCCTTTTATATGTTGGTGTAACAATAAACAAATCTAAAGCGGCAGATCGGTGTTTTGGTTTTTGCGTCCGTTATAACTAAGCGTTTCTGAGAAATCTTCGAAGAACAGCGTGGGCCCGAGCGTAGCGAGAGCTGGGCATTAACGGTTTATGAGACGTGATTGACAGTTTCTGACGATAGAAACAGATCTGGCGGATTGAAACAGTTGGTGAAAGTTTGGATAGTCGCCGTTCATTTTTCCTGGTGCCGGTCAAGTCCTCTTTGAACAAGCAATATCTGGAACTTTTTTGGAATTGGGTCAAGTTCAACAATGCCTGGGTCAAAGAAGGGACAGAGTGTCTTGGATGCAAACAGGAAAGTAAGTCATGGTGACTTGTCTGTTAATTGTAACGATGTGTCTGATGTTAAGCATGACATGGTTGATGTTACTGTTTCGCCGTTCAGGGATAATAGGAACATCAAACTCCCTAAATTTGAACCACGATGTTTTGATGGAAACCCTGTCGATTATTTACAATTTGTAAAGGAGTTTGAGATCATGTTGAGTGGTTTTTTATTAAATGATGAATTGAAGTTAATGTATTTGATGAGATATTGCACTGGAGATGCTGCAAGAGCTATACAGTGCTGTAAGTTTATGAAGCCAAAAGAGGGCTACTACGAGGCTATGAGCATATTACGTCAAAGGTTTGGAAGACCTTCGATGATTGCAGGGAAATTATTCGAGGCTGTTAAGGGTAATGGTGGTCAATTACAGGATGACTCCCAGGCACTCACTGAGTTTTTAGATAATTTGCTAATTTACAAGAATGGAATGATTTCGATGAATCGAATGAGTGACCTCAACTCGAGTTTTATACTAGAAGTAATAGCAAGACGTCTACCTACTCGACTGCAAAGGAAGTGGGTGAAGATAAGCTCCCGTATGGAGGATGAGGGTATCGAGCCAAAGTTTGATGATATCCTGAAACTGGTAAAAGATAGTGTCAATCAATCTATGAGCAAGTTTTCCAGTCTGTTAGATCTCACCCCTAGAATAGAGCAGTCTGAGGGTAAAACGCACTCATTGATGACGAATAAGCCTCAGAGAGGTGGATATCGAGAAGGCTCCATGATGTCTAGTAATGCATATAGACCTAGTGAGTGTAACAGGTTTCGTAGTACATCCTCAACAGATAAGTTACAAGATGCAAGACAAACACGGTTGTGTTGTACACGTTTGCAAGAGGTGCATACAAAAGTGAACTGTGAACCAGTGAGCAAGTTCAGTGATAAGCTAAATGTAAACTCCAGGCCTGACTCCGAATTGTGTGACGATAACGGTGCGGTGAAGAAGTCTGTAGTTGCAACTGGTAAGCCGTTGTTGAATAGAGTGTCACAGAATAGAGTTACTGCTTCAGAGTGCAGTTCTGACTCCACAAGTTTACAAAGTATTACTAGTCAGAGTGAAGATATAAAACCTTTAATGATTTGTGAGGAGGAACCAAAATTGTCTACTTCTGTTATTAAAGAGTTTG